CCCCAAAACCCCAAAACCCCAGACACTTAACTTTTCTTTTGCATTATATATAGAAATATTTAAATTTATTCGAAATTCGAAAGTTTGATTAAAGTTAATAATAATGCAAGATATTGAGAGGAAACTAGAACCATCTAAGTTGAAAATATTTGTAGCCATGATAAATGGCTCAATTTCTTAAATGCCCTTTTATATTATACTACCTTTCTTGCCATTTATAATTCAATTTGTTTTCGGCAAAGGATAATATGGGCTGATTGCCTAGGCCGCTTGTCATATTGGAATTTCGCTTGCTAGAATAATAGTTCCAAAACTAGTTATTTCTTGGGGCTCAAGAATTGTGATACTTGTTGGTGGACTCCTCGCCTTTTCCTTTTTCATTTACTCATTCTACTTGATTGATAAAGTATATGACTACAATAAACTGCCAGTGACTTCAGAGTACCATCAAGATAAATATATATCTGCACTAATAGCTTTTAGTTTTGTGCTTGGATTTGGAATAGTAATGGGTTACCAAGCGAATTTAATGTATATATAGCACTGCGCTATTAATATTAAAGATAGAGATGATCGAACGGAAAAAGAGTAGTTGTACTAAAAGATCTACAGTAAATTCATATATTTGTTTAGAATCTTGGGTATAATTGGTGCTGCACTTTTGTTTGAAGAGTACCATAATAATATATTTGCTACTTTACCTAACCTAAATCACTTAATGATTTATTGCGGATTTCTTTCTATTAGTTCTTTTGTACTGGCATTAGCAATGCCAGACCCTTATAAAAAAAATCCCAAAATCATTCATTCAAGTTAACAGATTCCTGATTCTGAGTAATCATTCAACATATAAGAAGAAAAGGGTACAAGAATTATTAAAGAGCATTATTAGTATGAAGGCTCAGAACAGTAACTGAAATTATATCTCAGTAATGATATTTTGTCAAATATTTTTTCAAAGAGAATGCTTAAATATCTGCCTCACATCTTATGCTCAGCTCTAATGAATACTGTGTTTGAATCAGTTGCATTTATGTTTATGTTTATATAAATCGCAGCTAATCAAAAGGAATTTATAATCAGAACAACTTTCTTTATGTTCATTCCTAACATTGTGATTCAATTGCTATTGTCTTTCTTTACATGCAAAGTCTGTTTTGAATATGGATATTCTAGCAACTAATCTTAAAGAGTTACTTGGAGGAAAGGTGCTATTTTAAACTTTATAATATTTCTTGGATTGCTTTTGATAGCCATCATTAATAGATTTATCCACTGGGATTTTAACCAATTCAGTGCTACTCATACTATTGGGTTATTTATAGGTGCTTCGATTCTTTGTGGTATCAGTGAGATACTTTTTCAAAAATAGAGGAGAAGTTTGGCTCTTCAGTACACTAGCACTCTTAGCTTTTATAGAGCAACTATAATTATGGAAGATTTTGTGAAAGCTATTGTATAAGTGTTTTTATTCCTTCATTTCTATATCATTTCTGATAGGAAGCAGTTAGAGGATATTTTGGAATTATAATTTTTCATATTAATAGCGTTATCTCTTGGTCTCGGCATAGTTCTCTAGGTTTTCATATATTTATGCAATCCTTGATTTTATTATTTTCAAAATTCTCAATTTTATGTTTTATGTTTTAGACGGGGTTTTGGGGTTTTGGGG